CCCCTCTAAGATGGTTTAAATCTCGGCGGGGGGTCAGCCCCTGCCCTCGCCCGCGGCTGGAAGCAGACGGTGTGGGTGCTTGGCTCAGCGGCGAGTCCGAGGGCCGAGCCGGTCTGAGGTCTGGCTCTCCTTCCGCAGGGCGTACGTCTCTCTCTTCATGAGACATTTGTGTGAGCCTGGAGCAGACGGTGCCGAAACCTTTGCGGACGGCGTTCCCCGGGAGGGGCTGTCGCGGCAGCACGTGCTGACTCGGATAGGAGTCATGTCGCTAGTAAGGAAGAAGGTGGGTGGGTAGAACTTGAACTGTACCTGTCCAGGTGTGTTCTGGCGGCTCGTGGGTTCCACTGGCTGCCGAGTGCCGCTCGCCGGGGATCCCCTCCTGAGTCTCCCTGGCTCAGTGCGCGTCTGTTCTTGTCGTAAAGGTGTAGGGGATGGTAATGCAAACTGCCTGCTTGCCCTGGGAGGGGCGCAGGATGAGCAGGTGTTTGATTAGCTGGCAAAAAAGAGAAATCATGCTGGAGACTTGTTGGGTCTCGGAGCTGTAGCGTCAGATGTCCCTGGCAGGGGGGGGGTAGCCACCCCCCCCCCTTTCGAAACGGGTGAAGCAGCCGGAGCACGGCGGCTCTCCAGCACCGCGCTGGAAGTGTCTCGGCTGCGTTTCACTTGATGGTGTGCATCTGCCCCAGGTTCAGGAGTTTGAGCATGTCAACGGGAAGTACAGCACCCCAGATCTGATTCTCGAGGGCCCAGAGAGCAAGAAGTCCAGTGAGGTGGTGTCGTCAGATCCCAACACCCCCGTCCCGGCCAGCCCAGCCCATGTGCACGCAGGAGCTGTGGCCCTTGCAGGTGGGTGTGCCTGCAGGCTTCCAGGGATGGTGGCTTTGCCCGGGCGTGGGAGGGGAGCTGGGCCAAGACACCAGCAGGTCTTGCAGATGTGCACCTGCCCTGGCAGTGTGCGCAGCCCTCCGGGGCTCCGTTCCATGGTGTCCTTGCTTTGCGGTTGCTACAGACAAACCAGAAGCACAGCTCGGGTTCCAGGAGGAGAAGGACCAAGTGGAGCAGAAGTCCAGGAAGGTGTCTGACAGCCAGGTAGGGTGGCTTCTTTCAGTGTCTCCTCTGGGAAGCCTTCTTGTGGCCTGCCTGGCAGCTCGGGGCGCTCCCCGAGGAAGGGGCAAGGCTGGGCTGATCTGGTGTGGCCGCTTTACGTGAAGGTGCCGGTGGGTGCTGAGAAGGTGGAAAGCGAAGAGCACCCAGAGAGCTGCGACAGCAAAGAGAAACTGAAGGAAGAGAAGCAAGAGGAGAGTGAAAAAGCTGAGCCTTCTCCCGAGCCGCTGGTGAAAGGTGAGTCCCTGGGGCCCAGGTGAACGCGATCGCTGTGCACGGGCTCCGCTCTCAGCCGTGGCTGGGACGTCTGCGGGGCTGTGGCACCCAGCAGTGGCACCGGCTTGTGCTGGAGAAGGTCTGCAGCTGAAGGTGCTTGGACACCAGGGCGTGTGTTGTTTTTTCTCCTGCTAAGCAGAGAAGTCTGTCCAGACAAAGAAGTTGTTCCCTGAAGAGTGTTTTGCATGTCAGGCTTTTCTCATGTCGCGTTCCCTTCTGCAGATGAGGGAGTTCAAGAGAAAGAGAAGCCTTTGGAGAAGCTGGAGGTGAACAGCAGCCCGGGCAAAGGGGAGGACAAAGAAGTCAAACCAGGTGAGGCGCAGGGAGGCTTTGGGGCGAGGAGCGGTGTGAAGGCTCTCCAAAGCGCGGCGGGTGCCTGGCGCAGAGGCGAGGGAGCGTGTCCCCTGGGTCCACGATGGCGAGGACGGCCGTGGCACCCGCCGCCGCTGGGCCTTGCCATCTGGTGGGGGGAGCGGGAACAAGACCCCGTTACGGTGGGCACTGCCTGTACGTGCTGCGCAAACAGTGGGCCCTGCTGGGAGGGGCAGATGGTCGGCTGCGGTGGAGCAAGGAGCGGGCTGGTGGCTTTCCCAGCAGTGGCTTTAGCGGGGAGTTCCTCCGGCAGCTGATGGGGCAAGGATGGCGCCGGTCGGTCTTTCACAGAATCACAGAATAGTAGGGGTTGGAAGGGACCTCTGTGGGTCATCTAGTCCAACCCTCCTGCCGAAGCAGGGTCCGGTTAGGCAGACGCAATTTCTTGTGTTTGCCAAGCAGAGGACGCCAAGGTGGAGGAAAAGGAGGAAAGCGAGGGTCAGCAAAACGGTGACAAAGAGGAAGAGGAGGATGGAAAGAAGGATGACAGAAACCTGAGCTTCCGATTCATGTTCAACATTGCTGACGGTGGCTTCACAGGTAAGAGCAAGCGACAGGCGTCGTAGATTGAGCCCGTGCAAGCCGTGCGAACCGTGTAAGACGGCTGCGGGCGGGCTGGGGCTGCGCCTCGCAGCAGGCTGTCTCGGCTTTGCGCCGTGCCCGTGGCTGCCCGGGAGGTTTCACTGCTCGCCCTGCGCTGTGTGATGTCCCCGGCAGCGCCGCTGCCTGACCGGGCTGTCTCGCTTCCGCGTCCGCAGAGCTGCACACGCTGTGGCAGAACGAGGAGAGGGCTGCCATCTCCTCCGGCAAG